TGTTCCGCTATTTTTGATCTTTGTGTATCCATGTTCCTGCAGAGTCTTTGATGTTCCTTGATTTGTAGGCCGATTTTTGGTCCTGTTTCACCGATATACTTTTGCTCACAGTTTCCGTATTTGATGCGATAAACTCCCGAACATTCAAGTTTATCCGCCTACTTATGTTGTTTCGGCAGATAAGTGAAAAGTGTTTTCTTCTCCTTTGTTATCACCTTGATATTCCATTTTCCTAATAAAGGTCGCAATTGTTGGCTCTATTACTTACTGACACGGATTTGTCTAAGTAATGGATACCCCGATTTCAACTTGGATTTTATGAAAATCAGATCAGGAATGAGGATAACAACGAAAATTCGATCTGCTTGCCCTCATCAAAACTGAGCCAACAATTGTTACCTTTATTAGGATTATATTTTCGGATGCATGACAGTAAAATCCAATGTTAAACTTAGACCTTTCCCTTATCCTGGAGAGCATAATTATTAGCACTGGTGTATCCAACCAATGTTGCTATCTGGTGTGGCCGAATTTACTGTAGCAATTCTCGCTTTTTCAAGTAAGATTAATCTCTGAGCTCGATCATCTTAGCTTTTTACATAAACAAAGGTACTCTGTTAAGGTTATCTTACGGGATTCTTCGGTCAAATTTTTCAAACTATACTACTGATCGGAATTCAGTAATGTCTTGAAATATATATTTTTAGGTGCATGCTGAAGAGATTCCTAGGTCTATTTTACCATGCGATGACTAGTCGGCAAGTTCTCCTGATTCGGTGTTTTTTCGAAGTTTCCGGACTGGAGTTTAGCTCTGATGGTGTCTGTCTGTCTTGAGAATTTGTCGTCTTGAGCTTTCAATTAGACTCAGACTACAGCAAATCATCACGGATTCGCAACCAATCTCTCCCTCCATTTTTCACACTAAATGAGGGTAAGCTCAACAAGTTTATCTCCGAATACTCATTTGTTCACCTAGTGAGAATGAAAGGGGAGTCGAGTTTGCTATTCTCTAGCTTTCAAGTCTACTTTCTTTGAATAACATTTTTCGTATTTTAGCTTCTTGGCTTGCGTAATGTAAATTATCACTACTAAAATAATTTAAAGGATTTTTCACCGAATCACTTCTTTTTTCAGCCGATTCGAATCTCTCCGCAGACAGCTTGGAGCCTTATTAAGCAAAAGCCGCGACGGCCGTCTGAAACTGTTTTCACAATCCATAGGATCAAGC